GAGAGAGAGAGAGAGAAAAAGTTCAGTGAGCGTTACCACAATCACGTTTAACATCCATTCGATAAGTTTATATATTTTACGAATATGAGACAATTGTATTATTTCTTTCCTTTTTTTTATTTTTCTTTTTCTTTTTAAATAAACCTTTTTTCACAAATATAGTAACGTGCCTCGGGATGCGTCAACGGTATTATTTATAATTAAATATCGAAAAATAATTTTTCACTCACGAAATCGACTTTTTTCACGGTCGGATCACGTTCATTATATATATATATATATATATATATATATATATATATATATATATATATATCTGATTTACAGTTATATAGTTGATCCCTTATACCTGGTATAGAATATGACGAGTATATTTAATCAGCCTTTGACATATTTAGATTTAGTAGGATAAGTTTTAAACACTTGTGAGTATATATATATAAGTGTATATATATATATATATATATATATATATATGTATTTGTTTATTATTAGAAAGAGAGTAAGCTTTCGTTATCGTTAAGTGAGAAATAGTAAAATGCGACGGGACATTTCAAAACAACTTAATTAGTATCATCAAAAAATCATTTTCAATGTCCTGATATATACATAAGTAAATACATAAATCACTTGGAAAAATCAATAAAGCGATCTTTAAGATTTTTTTTTCTTTTCTTTTCTTTTCTTTTCTTTTCTTTTCTTTCCTTTCTTTTCTTATTTTTTTCATTCTGTGTTTCTTTTTTTCCTTTTTTACTTTTAGATCGATTTTTGTTCGAATGGAAAGGAAGAAAAAACAAAACGAAAGAAAGAAAAATATAATAAATAAAATGAAAGATAAGAGCCATATAAGAGTATCCCAAGTAAAATCATAACCGTGATGTATATTTTCTTCGGCGCTTGTGGAATTCAACGGCAAAACGCGGTGGGTACATGACAACTGGGCCGGAAAGAGAATGAACCGTAAACTTGATAAATAAACATTAGAGTTCGCGATAAAAGCGGGTCACTCGGTAAACGGATCCTCGCCTTCTTAGATTAATCGCTTGCCTTCTCGTTTCTTCGTTAAGACTACTTTGTCTTTTCTTCGATTTGAATTAAAAAGTCAGGATAGAGAGAGAGAGAGAGAGAGGGAGAGATGCATTTATAATATTATATGTCAAATAAATAATTAATATATGAGTCATTTGTTTAGAAAATTACCATTTTAAAAAAATCTTATTAATATTTCTAATAATTACGATTCTCTATGTGATCTTTACATTTTTAAACAATTTTTATGTGTGTATGTATGCAGAAGGAAAAAATGTATTTATATATATTTATATATTTTTATATATATATATATATATATATATATATATATATATACATATATAATCCCCTAGAATATCAATGAAACTGTTGAATAATAATTTAAAAAGATGGAAATGTTTGGGAATAAAAATTGAATGGTTTATAAGGTCACATTTTTAATTCGATTTTTTTGTTGATGGACGCGTATAGGTATAACACAAAGGTCAACTGCGTTTTATTAAATAAAATTATATATTTCCGATTGCATTAATCCAACGCGACACGATGCAATTCTCTTTAGAAAAAAAAAGAAAGAAAAAAAAAGGATAAAATAGAAAAAAATAATTAACTAATGTATGCCGAAAAATAACTTAGTTGAGTTATATTTAAATTTAAATATTATTCTTTAAAAAAAAAAAAAAAAAAAAAAAAAAAAAAAAAAAAAAAAAAAAAAAAAAAAAAAAAAAAAACCTTTAAAAAAAATATATAAAAAAATTATATATATATATATATATATAATTTTATTCACCTAAAAACAGTTATAAAAAAAATACAGCTTTCAAGTTATTTATCAAGCAATTTTAACGAAATTCTTGGCAAAGAAAAAGAAGCAAAAAAAAAAAAGAAAAAAAGAAGGGAGAAAAAACATCGGCATACATTTTCTATTCATTTTGGAAAACATTGAAGTATAAATTCTCGAGAACAAAGATGGACGAGACGGATTGATAGTAACGGTCAAAGGATAATTAAAAATTCCCCCTTCATTTTCTAACAGCCAACAAAAAGAGCCCAGCTGTTGTCACCTGTCAAGTTTTGCACCTGTCGGATGTGACCGAGCGTGCGAAAGCGAGCTCTTCTCTCTCTCTCTCTCTCTCTCTCTCTCTCTCTCTCTCTCTCTATCTCTCTCTCTCTATCTCTCTCTCTCTCTCTCTTTCCCTCTTTCTCTCTTGCATTCGTTCACTCTATTGAAATTTAATTTTGAAAATTCAATTGGATTGCGCAAGCTCGTTGTGATGTCGCTCGTAATCTTGACCGAAATTCCTTCCACAAATTTTTTTTCTTTTCTTTTGCTTTTCTTTTTTTTTTTTTCATTTTCTTTTTCTTTATCTTTTTCTTTTTCTTACTTTTTTCGTTTTCAAGATAACGAGCATCGAAAGTGAGAGTAAACGCGTAGGTTTACGTATGTAAACGATATAGAAAGAGAGAG